ACAGGTAACACAAACGACAGAGAAAACAAATGAAATGTTTATTATTACATATCGTGCATAATAAAGGTGGAAATGTGGCTAGCTTCAATGAATTGGGACAGTATTCAACATTCATTGACGCCCTACTTTTTTCTTGGCCTTGTGTGGGAAAGGGAACTTCTAATTCGACTATGGTCTTATGTACCAATATTTTATACATACATACATACATAAATATATATATATATATATATACACACACACACACATATACTTGGGAAAGCGGACTTTTTAATTCGACTGTGGTCTTATATAGCGGAATTCTCTCTCTCTAAATATATGTGCGTGCATATATATTTTTTCTTCATCTACATCCGATCATGATTTATACTTTATTTTTTTATAATATTGATTTCCTGAAAACAAGGGGAACTAAGTACCAAACTGAAACAAAGAGCAACCAGATTATCAGAACTAAGCAAATTAAGGAACATAGGAAATGGAAAAATTAAATAAAAAAATAAAGAAAGAAAGATGGAGGAAGTGATGCAAGACACTAGAGGAGAGTCCCTTGTAACAAAATTATATTATTTTTATTGTTGCTATTCAATGAGTAACCATCTAAGTTCTAAGAACATATACTTACTTAAAATGTCAGAGACTCACACAAGACTTTCGATACGATAAAATTGTTAACTTAAGCTATTAGGAAGATTATAATTTTAATATTTAAATCCTTTAACAAGGACATGTTTCTAACATGTTAAAAGTATTTTCAATTTTGAATGTTTGGTTGGACACGACACAAACACGTTTGGCACTATCGAGACATGTTGGGGTAATTTTGTAATAATCAATTTTTTATTTTTTTATTATTTTTGGAACAATGAAATTCCAATTCAACTTTAAAATAAACTATGGATTAATTTTTAAAATGATATAAAATTTAAAAGTAAGAAACAACAAACAAATTTATAATTTGGAATTATAAAAGGTAGGTGTACTAAGAAATAAAAAATAAAATAAAATGCAAAACTAGTAGAAAATGTCTAGGAAAATATAATTCTATAACGTAATATTCCATGAGTTTTTATTCACTTGATGTAGTAGATGAGTTCAAATGTGGATCTTATTCACTATATCAAAAGATAAAAATTCTTACAGATTAAAGAAATCCCTCAAAGAATCATTTTGCTTGGAATATTGAAATTTTTAATTCACCCTAAGAATGTATTATTGTGTTGTGAAAAACCAACAGTCTCATGTTACCCATAACAGCACCAAAATGCTGTGGAACTAATTCCCCAGGGCATACTGTTCCTACTTTCCTCTTCAGTTCTATATATATATTTAAGTATGCAAATACAAATAATAATAATAAAAGGAGTCCTGTATTTATTAAGCACATTCCCAACAGTAGGCAACACAGAATGGAATGTTTGGAATTTGTATTCAAAGGTTGAATTTTGCAATACCATTTAATTAAAGACAAATCATCTTGAGAACTGAAAAGCATAGTTGATATAATTTGTATTTAGAAAATCATTTTCAAAGTAAAATGAATTCCACAATTGTTTTCCATTTTATATTTATCAAAATAAATAAATAAATCTCAAAAAAATCTAGTTTTGCGAGACAAAACTAAACAGGTTGATTGACGAGCATGTTTTCTCAAAGACTTATGCTATACAAGTATGGAATGCATTCAAGTGGTCTACATTAATCTAATCTAATGTTTCAAAGTTTGTATTCAAGGAAATATGTTACCTTTTTAAGTTTAAATATCATTTTCCTTTCTCGAAAGGAACTATTCATTATCAAATTGTGACTCACAAATGCTAATGTGAACACTTATTTTAGAATGGAAGAAGTATATATACATATATATATATTATCCAGCATTTTTTGAAAGAACAATTTACAGCAGTCATAATCAGAAGTAGTCAATTAGTGGGCACAATTATATGGCATTACGGTAATAGTAGTGCAGTCAGGCTAGATATTTACTTTATCTCCTTAATTACCATTTGTTTTCAAACCCCGACATTGTAAAGGACAATGCAATTAGGTAAACTAAAAGCAAAAGAATTACTAGTGCTTATAAAGAAATGGACATATATAACTATAATATATTATTAGCCAACTGCATTATATATATATATATATATATATATATATATCAAGACCTAGGGATATATAGTTGTTTCCTAGCTAGCTACTTAGTTCAATGCACTACCGTTTCTCCCTATCTTCTCTTCCCTCGTATTCCAAGTAATACAATTGCCATGGCCGAGACCTTCCCACACTGACAATTATTATTAGACCACAAACACACACACATGCAGCTTTGAAGATATTAAGGTTTGCCATTTTTTAATATCCACTTAAATATATATATGCTAGTATTGTACATATATACCATATACACTAATATATATATATATGTACAAGTAAACAAACAGCCTCAGATTTCATTATTATTAATCTCTTGTATTTCTTCTGTTTTCCAGTTGTTCAATCCCATCGTCATTCAATAGCCCGCCTTTGGTTTTGGTCTCTTTTGTTTTCCCTAGGCCACTCTCTCTCTCTCTCTCTCTCTCACACACACACACACACACAGACAGACATCCATGTGAAGTGCAAAATGAATGAATCTCCAGGAGTAGCTCACAACAGTGACGATATTATATCATCAAATGATGAAGCCTGCATTGAGGAAAGAGAGACAACAAGAGAAGACAAATTCTTTTCGGGACTTCTCCGATGGGTGCCGGTGAAGGAGGTATTTCTCTCTCTCTCTCTCTCTCTCTTCACTGCTTACTACATTTTTTTGCTGTCCAGTTGCATGAATGAACATGGTTGATTACTTTCGAAATTAAAGAGATATATTTAATGAGTTGATTTCCGAAAATAAAAAGCTTTCTATTTACATAAGAAAGAATTGAAATTTTAAAATAAATTGTTATATGTATAACATAAATGCATGTTCATATATACGTTTGGAATCTGATTACTAGAAATGATTCAATGCTAACATAGGTGTTATATAACAATCAATAGTTGTGATTGAAACACAGGTGTTGTGTTTGATTTTTGATTTAGAGGCTCATTTGGAGCAACAACAATATAAACATATGTAACTTTTTCTTTTTAATTTTGCTTAGAACATGCTAATACAGTGATGAAGCTTTAATTTGATTTTTGTAAGCACACTGTATGTAGTACCATCAAATTCATAAAATAACCAAGATGCCCATACAAAGTACAGGTAACAGGTAACGTGAAACACTCTGCGTGTGAGAGAGAGAGAGTTATTACTAAAAAGAGGAGGAAAAGTTAAAAAGACGGTACAGCCCACGTATGGAGTTAGGTGGTGGGTCACACTTTTAGAAACTTAGGAAAAGTGTGAACATTTTTTTTACTATTTAATTCAAAGTGATACGTTTGGTAAAATTATATTACGGCATAAGTCACATGGGTTGACAATTAATTACTGCAAATTCACTGTTCACGCTTGTACATCAAAGTCCACACACATCATGATTGTCACATTCTTTTTCTATTTTTTTCTTCTGTTTTTCATTTAATCTTTTTCAAGCTAGCAACTAGCCGGCCAAATTATCATGGACCTTTTTTTCTTTTTTTCTCTTTTTTTTTTATTATTTAAAAAAAAAATGACATTCTTCTTGAAAATCTTACCATTGTCCAGTAAATACCAACCTTATTGCGATAATTGATTCAAATCGTGTAGATGTCTTAAAATTAAAATATTTATATATCAAAATTATAGTAGATAATATTTAAATCTTAGCTAGTAAGGAGTTATAATATACTGACCACTGAAGTGAACCAATGCTAAATAGACACATCTTATTTTAATTACCAAATCATTGATGGTAATCAAATCACTATCTCTGATTCAACTTTGATTTGGTAATTAGAGATGATATGTTCATTTATCATTGGTCCATCTCAATAGTCAATATGTTGTAAATTCTCACTAATGAGAACTTAAATATTATCTTACTTTTATTACTTGTGTTAAATTGTTAGAGTAAATGATTATTAACATAATATCATAATAAACAATGTTCTGACAACTCAAAAAAGGTCACATATAAAAAGGCGTGTGACCAATTTGTCAAGGGCACGATTCATAATATTCTAAACATGTTTCTTAAATAAAATAGTAGTAGAATTTTGGAGGTTGTGTGGACCATCTGTTTTTAGTTGCAAAAGTTTCCAATTCACGATATAATGTTGCTGAATATTTAAAATATAAGTTGGTTCCTGTATGTCTAAATTAACAAATGAAATGCATCATATAATAATAGATCAAAACATGCTGCACTCTTATGTTCTGAACTTTTGACACAATAAAGTTTGAGTTGAGGAACTAAATTAACTGTTGGGTTGCTTAGTCCCCCAACAAGCCAAACTTCGAACTTGTAAATTAATAAATATATATAATATAAAATAAAATAAAAATTATACAAATTACGAGATCATATCCCCAATAAGCCCAAAAACATGAGTGAAGCCCAAACTAGACAAAAAAAGAGGCCCAGAGAAGGCGCTTTGTGCCTAAATAAAACTGCAGGCCTAGAAGAAGAGATCAAAAGAAAGACTTTAGGCCCAAAACGAAAAGGGGCGCTGGCGATTGTGTTGTGCCGGCTAACATTGTGAGACATTCTTGGGTATTTTGACACCTTGTATCACTTCCAATTAAAACATTTTATTACAAATTTACTATATAGTTTCAAATTACTCTATATAGTTTCACAATCTTTGGTACAGCAATTTTTGAATGCGGTAAATAAAGATTACTATTTAACCCACTGCATCTGCATGCGATTGAACCTATCCATATATATATGGAAACGAGTGTGAAGGAATCCTTTCCATACATAAGAGAGCTTAGTTAATAAGTAGTAATACATCACTGTATAGTTTTATTCTTTGACGGAACTTAAAATTATAAAGTAGTAACTAGTTGTTTTTACTTAGTATCAGAGGCTTACATGTGTGTTTTGGTGATACAAATTAAGCAGGTTGCAGAAGAGTTGGTATTGTTTGGGAAGAGTACATGCCCAATATTGATGACAACCCTATTTATGCATTCAAAGGTGGTCATTTCCATGCTTTTCTTGGGTCGTATGGGGAAAATTGACTTGGCTGGAGGGTCTCTTGCAATGGCATTTGCAAATATTACAGGATTCTCAGTCCTCAAGGGCTTATCACTAGGGATGGATCCCATTTGTTTTCAAGCCTACGGCGCCAAAAGATGGTCAGTTCTCAGCCAGACTTACCTAAAGACTTTCCTTCTCCTCTTATTTGCATCAATTCCCATCTCAATCTTATGGCTAAATATCGAATCAGTCTTCCTCCGGTTAGGCCAGGATGTGGTCATCACAAAAGTAGCCGAAGAATACCTAGTTTTCGCCATTCCTGAATTGATAGGCCATGCTCACCTCAATCCATTAAGGTCATTTTTGAGGACTCAGAGCATTAATTCACCCAGCACAATGGCTGCCACTTGTGCTACTCTCCTCCACCTCCCCATCAATTACATTCTCGTCACATATCTGAATTTAGGGGTGAAGGGCATTGCCTTGGCTTCTTTTTGCTTTATATTTAACATGAACATTGGATTGCTAGCATATCTTGTGCTGTCAAAAGTACCACTGAAACCATGGATCGGGGCAACAATTATCTCCACATTTCAAGGTTGGAGGCCACTGCTAAGTATAGCATTGCCTAGTGTGTGCTCTGTGTGCTTGGAATGGTGGTGGTATGAGATTATTTTGTTCCTGAGTGGCTTATTGGGCAATCCCCAATCTTCTGTGGCTGCAACTGGCATTATGATACAAACAACAGGCCTACTATATGCATTCCCATATTCCCTGAGTTCGAGTATATCACAACGTGTTGGGCACGAGTTGGGGGCTTGCCAACCTGTCCGCGCCCAATTGGCAGCCATGGTTGGGCTCGCCATTGGAATGGCTTATGGACTTGCAGCCTTTGGGTCGACTGTTGCTGTGAGGTCTGTTTGGGGGAAATTGTATAGTAAAGACTCTCAGATTCTTGAATTGGTGTCGATGGCACTACCAATCATGGGGCTTGCTGAAGTTGGGAATGCCCCTCAAACAGCTGCCTGTGGTGCCCTCACAGGGTCTGCCAGGCCTAAAGTTGGGGTTCGTGTAAATATTGCCGCGTTTTACTTCATTGGGTTGCCGGTTGCTGTTTTACTAGCATTCAAATTCAAAATAGGTTACCGGGGACTATGGTGGGGACTAGTAGCGGCTCAGGGTGCATGTGCATCCATGATGGTATACACCTTAATTCAAACCGATTGGAGGTACCAAGTTAAGAGGGCAGAGGAGCTGACTCTGGCTGCTGGAGACAAGGATGATGTAGAAATGAATTTAGTGCCTTAGATCCATCTCAAAGTCTATTAGTCAGATTCAGGGACAAATGCAATACATAGTAGAGTGTAAATCATCCTCTTTTTTGTTTTTGTGAAAAAAGTTGCAGGCTAATTGTTCAAAGCAGTGGAGAAAAGGAAAATTTCAAAGAACAATAGCTCTGATACAGGGCTTCTCAAAGGTTTTAGTAACTTGTGTTCATGATTTAGGAAACTGAAGCAAGCTTTCATTCTTTTCTTTAGATTGTGCACAATCTCTCAACAGTGTGCAGATACAACTTGAAGCACCATCTCTCCATTGTTGCAAACTTGATATACCATTCTAGTAGCCTATATATATATAGATATAGATATATGGAAGTGTTTGTTTCGAAACCTTTGCCTACAGAACATGGACACCAATGTCTTTAAATAACCTAGGATTAAGTTATAACAGATGTGTTTCCAAGTGGACAAATAAATATTAGTGTGCTAGACCAATGAATAATATCTGGGTGAAATTTTCCAAATTAATACATGCATGAAGAACTTTCTTCGCCTGCAATAGTTGTTCATTATATGAATGCATTAGGTGAATCTAAATTGCATGCATTATAGCAGAAATACCAAAACATGATATTCTCTACTCTTTAGCGGTATAAATTGCATACTTCTATTTTCATTTTTTTTTTTTTAATATTGTTTGTAGAAAAGATCAACGTTATCTCAAATTCTAACAAGAAATTAATATTGGTTATATCTAACTTTAAAAAAGTGAAAACTGTAAAAAGAAAAGAAAAAAAATGGGGCTGGCGGTTGAAAAAACTTGAGATTGAATGAGATGTCCCAAGATATTGATTGGAGATATAAATTTAATTTTTTTTTATATGGAAGTTTTGGACAATAGATTTAGGATTATGATTTTTCTTTTATTTTTATTATATATATATATTAAGGATTTGGAAGGAAAAAAATGAGAAAAAGATAGCAAAAACTGAAATTTTATTGGTCATTTTTCTTCAACTACTATGAAGAGAAGTAGATATATATACATCTTAATATCCACTAAAAATCATTGACATTTCTCATACCCTTTATTTCTTTTAAATTTTCATTCATAAATTATTATAAAAAGTAATAACACATCAAATTCTATTTCTTCATTCTTTTCTATTATGTCAATACTATATATCTTGCACTTAATTGAGCATAGGCCATGATTAACATGAACCCAAAAGAATTTTTGAAGAGGCCCATTGTTTTTGCACAAAAGGCCCATTAAGAAACCGAAAGTAAAAGAGAGATATAAATAAATAGAAATTAGGCAGGCATCACACCATTCATATATGAATTTGGGGCCAAAGGAAGCTTTATTTTTCCATTTAAATTAATGGACAAGATAGTGGTCACTTTTTTCTCCCAAGAAGATGGTCAACATCATGGTAGGTTCTACAAAGACGTTGCAAACATGTCTTCCACTAGATAGTGCCCCCCCTCTCTCTCTCTGTCTCTCTCTCTATATATTATTTACCTTTTCTCATTGGAAAAAAAGAAGCCACTCGATCGAAAGCAACCAGAATAACTACCTTACCCCACCATCACCCGGGGTATTATTTATATTGTTGCACCTCTTCTTATTCACCATTCACTTTAATTTTTTTTTGGTTTGGGGTCCGTTTGATTAAGCAAGAAGCAGCAAGAAAGGAAAGAAAAGAGAAAAAAATTAAACTTTCTAATAATTTGGTTAGATAGAAAGTAAAAATTTTGGAGAATCTAAATTTTTCACATTTGAAAATTTTGTCAATTTTTTTTTTCAACATAAAACACCAAAAAAATCTACTTTCCTACCCAAGTTGTGCACTTTATTTCTTACTTTTTTATTATGTCCATATCTGTTGTCTAAACTAGATAAACTTCGTTGAAAAGGAAAAGTTTTCTTGTTCCGTAAATTACTTAATTTGTCTATTACTAATTTAATTGTTTGTAATTTTATGTGTGTCTTAAAATTAATTTAATTTTTCCTTTCATTATTAATTTTTTTTTATTTTTCAATGATGGCTGCAATTGCTCAAATTTTTTTGCAGTTGGTGATACTATTATCTCATAAACTATGTATATATTAGCCAGAATCCCACCGTATTCCACTTATTGATAACTCAAGATTTTGTTAACAATAGAACAGAGTTGACATAATTTATTCGTAGTAATAATAATCATATTATTTCATATATACAAATTAAATTTGTCAATTACTCCCTCCGTCCTAATATAAATGTCACTTATGGGGAGTAGTAATTTTTAAAGGGATATGTGGGACATGCATTGTCTGCCTAAAAAATTATTAATTTACCCTTTTAAGTTTTGAATATTCAAATTTGAAATTTAAACTTAAAGGACATTTTTGGAATTATGTGAAATATATTGTTTGAAAAAAGAAAGTAGACACTTATTTTGGGATAGACAAAAAAGGAAAGCATGACACTTATTTTGGGACTGAGGGAATATATTGGTACTTATTCAACTTTCAAAGGGTAATAAATCAAGGGTTCTAGTCCTTGTAAAAAAATGCAAAAAATTATATATGATATCACATATTATTCTATTTTATATTTCAGTATTTGCTTACTATAATAAATAATTAAGTATAAAGAATATTTGTCTAACTCAAATTTATTTTATTTTATTACTATTTATAATTATAAGGGTATTTTTGGTAAGTAAAATTATTTTCTTTTATATTTCATGTCATCCAAACTAACAAAATAACATTTTCACATAACTTTCTTTAAAAAATTCCTGCAAACCAGATGCACAATGCAAACTTGATCTTCTTTTCTTTCACTTTTACTTCCCATTAAATTTTCTGTCTAACCAAACGAACCCTTATTGGTACACTCACACATACTTAAGTTTATCTGAAATTTGAACTCCTGACCTTTATTTAAAAAGTAAAAGACTGATATTATTACCCGTTGTCGATTCACTTTATTTACTATTACAATGAAGGTTTCAATTATCATTTCCCATTTAAAGATTTATTGGGTTAAATTTGAATGATCATTTAAACATTTCATTTATGAATTCACGAATTTAAAAATGTTATCATCTTCGGTTGAGAAAGTAATAGTTTTTCAAATGCTTCTAACAAAAATCTAAACAGAGTGACGGATACTTTACTTTTAGATGTTGGGTGTGCGCCCTTAGCTTCTTGTTCAAATTAGGAGGCAAATTAATAAATTATATAGTCGTCGCTCTATATATAGTATATACATACATTTTACAGTTGAAATCATTGACATACCTTAAAAGAATTGTAATTAATTTGAAGAAGTACAATGTCTATTTTGCATCTAAACTTTTGCCAACCCAATGTGTCATCAAATAATTTTTTATGAATAAACACGACCTCAAGTTGATTTAACTCCTTTAATTGTTGAATCCAAGATGGATTGAGACTTTTGTTTATTTAAAGTTTTAATATCAAGATTGTCAAAAGGCGTGAAAGTTTGGTTTTTCTTCCTTTACTTTTAAATCCTTTGAAGGTATAATATAGTATGACGTAGACATTTCTACAAGTACATCTCCATTTAGTAAAAAGTAAAAAATTATTAATTAACTAAAATTTCATAATTGTCTTATTTTTTTAATTTAATAAATATATAAATAAATAAATTTATATATATATATATATTAATTTATTTGTGTTCACACTATATTCGTGTCTTATTATTATTTTTTAATATTTAAACGTATAAATGCATTGTTGTTATATCTTGTTTGTCCCTCGCATTCATATAATCTAAACCCATTAAGTGAATATTCAGTCAGTCTCGAAAAGAGTAAAAAGAAATAGTGTGTGTGTATATATATATATATATATATATATATAGATTGTCATGGAGGTTCTACCATAAACATGACCTATACTTGGATGGAGACTTAAAGCAAATGAAAAAGTTCCCGGGTCCTATTAGTGATTAGCGAGATTGACACGTTCACCTATGTGATAACCATTAAACACTTCCTCTTTATTTCCTTTGTCACGAAGCATTTCAACATGCACCTTGAAAACTTAACTTTAACAAAAACACATTACACATTTTGAAATCAAAGCTACACATGATGCAGTCAGATCGTGTTCCACACCTCTGCTCACTTCGATTTCGGCAATAAAGGGACTCTGCTGTGCTGCTTTTGCTGGGGACTTCTTTTCATAAAGAAGCTTCCTTTTTGCTAAGGATTTGAACCATTTTTAACCCCCTTGTTTTTTGTTGGGTAAGTTCATTTGTAGAATCAAACACAAACATTTCTTCAATTTGACGTGAATGTTATGAAATGAAATAATTATTCATATATAAAAATATATTAGATGAACCAAGTATATATATTTCGTGTCATTGATATATCTAATTAATAAAAATACACTATTTAATTTTATTGAATGCTATATTTTCATTGCATAAATAGATATATCAATGATATTATATGTAGAATGAGTCATGTAGAAATCATGGACAATTCGTAAAATGACATAATATACAAGTACTTTTCTTCCTAATTTGAAGTTGTTGATGGGCCTAAATCATAGTGCAACAAGATCAGGATCAAAATAAAAAGAAGTGCACTTAAAATGAATTGAACCCTCAACTTCTCTCATTTTGAAAAAAATGATATATATATATATATGAGAAATGCTACTAAAGCTTATAAAATATACCGATTTAAAAATACAATAAAAGTTAATTAATAGGCATATTCTATATATATATATATATATACATATGAGAAATGCTACTAAAGCTTATAAAATATACCGATTTAAAAATACAATAAAAGTTAATTAATAGGCATATTCTAAGTCATATAAAATAGGAATGGAAGTGAGAGCAGGAGTGTGAAAGTGGCAGAATTAAGTCATAAATATTGAAAAATTGAGTCAAAACGCGCGTGACGCGCGAGAGCGAAAACGCGTTCGGAACATGAGAGCGACACCGATTAAAAAAAATTGTTTGACTTTGAGTATATTCATATCAATCTCATTCGGGTTTATAAATCTTACCATTAATTATTAATAATTTCTTCTATTGCGGAAGTGCCTATTGCTCCTCCTAGGCCTATGTCATGGTTCCCTCCGCCACATGGGTTGTTCAAACTCAACTGTGATGCAACTTTTGATTGTTGTCGTAAGAGATGTGGTGGAGGATTAATTTTGAGAGACTCTTAGGGCAGACCGGTGAGAGTTGCTTCGTGTCTTTTTTTATTTTGTCCACTCTGCTTCCATGGTAGAAGCTTTGGTTGTTCATTTTGAGTTACGTCTGTTGCAGGTATGGGGTTACACCTAATCCATTGTTGAAGGAGACTGTAAGTGTATTATGGCCCTTTCCCTTCTAGATTCCTCATCGGCAATTGTGATTAAAAATATAACTAAAATGGTTTATGGTGATTATAATGAAACTAACTTTTTATTGAACTAGGTTCCTAAAAGTTGTAACAGGATAGTCCATGATACAGAACAGTGAGCTCTTAAATGTAATCAAGGTAATCTTGCTTGGAAGGTGTGGCCATCTTGGCTTTTAGCATCTCTTGAAGCTGATCTTTCTTTTGTTCCCTCTTAGTGTTTTTTAATGGCTTCAGAAAAAAAAAAAAAAAAAAAAAAAAAAATTAAATAAAATGTTTCAATTTGAAAAGAAATCTGTATGTATATATACACACACACACCACTATACATATTTTTGGAGCTTTGCACAAGAATTCTACCTAATGTATTTGTCACGCAGCGGAGCACAAAATGCACATTGACTTATTTTATTTTAGCACGTGGCAAACAAGGAGAGCCGAGCCGAGCCAAGCTAAGCCGAGCCGAGAGAGCCGAGTCTCTAGCCAACAAAAAGGAGGAGGATTAGTTTGTCTGTACACGAGTGTCCCTCTAAGCATCCTCAACCAAGAACGTCCAAATCGCAGATGCTGTGAGGCTCTCTACTATCTGTGTGCTCTCCACGTGTCGCAAAACCATTGGCTTCTCAGTTTCTCCCCACACCAATAGTTCCTTTATCATTTTCCTTTCCCTTTAGTATTTAAAACCTGACCGGAATTGAAACTCGGAATATCTTCATCGGAACGCCACTCGCTCCCATTGTAGAGAGAGAGAAAGCGAAATTATGTTCTAGAGAGAGAAAACGCAGAGAGTGTGTGCGTGTCACTTCTAGGGTTAGGGTTTGTTTAATCAGCTCCAACGACTAAGCTTATCATCTAATAAACCACACGACTTTAGCTTTTTCATCGTGTATATGCATATATATATATGTATTTGTGTATGCTGCAACTGTAAGTTTCTTCTGCGTCCTCTCTTCCTTCGTTTCTAGGGTTTCACTTTTTTCATCTTCTCGGATTACGAGGCTTCCAGTTCAAGTTGAACCATCTAAAGTTTGGAGCTGAAGTTATTTGCTGAAAAAAAATCTATTTTTTTCTGTGAAACCGAGAATTTCTAAAGTAATCGGTGAGAAATTAGAGTATTTTTTGTGGTGTTTTGTGTAAGGAAGCTGATGAAGTGTAAAATAAGAAGTTTAGTTGAGCTCCTACTGGTGTATTTCTATATGGAAGTTGGTATGGTTGCCGGGATTGGGTTTTCGTGTGGTGTTTTCAAAAGGTAGTAGTCTTGGATTGCAGAAAATGTTGACCAAAAGTTGACCTTTATTTAATAAATTGATCAGGGCATAGAGGTTGATGCTTTAGTGGTTTGAGGGAGGTTTGAGATGAGGCACTCGGGCATAATCTGAGGGTTGCAACATGAGCTGCAGTGAGAACAGAGGAAGAGAAGAGGGGGAATATGAAAATTCCATTGTGCGCAAATCAGTAGAGGGCAGCCCTAAATTGGTGTCGCAGAATGGATCAATCACTGCCCCTCAATTAACTATTGATGAAAGTTTGTTGGTTGACCCTAAATTACTATTTATTGGATCAAAAATTGGTGAGGGGGCGCATGGGAAAGTTTATGAAGGAAGGTATATGCAAACTTATTTCCTAGTATTGTCATTTATGCCGAACCTTTAACCCTTTTTGGTTTGCTAAATTACACTAAGATTGGTTTATACTAAATACATGGTCAATAAGGGTTGTATGATTGTAAGCTATACCACTTGGTTTGTTTATTGTTGGTGATTGTGTAAAGATTAAGTTTTCTCTCTTCTGAACTTCTGTAATGATGTATTGTTGTGCCTGTGTGCTTAGCTTTGCAAGCAGTTTGACTGATAATTTATGCCCTAGTTACTGTGGTATAATATTCAGTAATCCTTTTCTAGGTACAGCTAATGTAATATTACATAAAATTTCTCTACTGTCTGAACAGTTCAACAGCAAAGGGTTGTATAATTGTTGTGCCCTTGGCAAATCGTAGAAATACCAAACTTAACTACTCTAAAAATAGCCAAAGGATTGTACAACTGTAACACTGCTGGTTCTTGGCTCCTTTCCAATGTAAGGTGTTGGGAGGTTCAACTATAATATTTACATCTGTACGTATTATTTCCTCATTACTGTTCATATGGAGGTTCGTTGTATGTCTTCTAAACTCACACTTGTTCCTTTGTCATCAAATAGAATGTGGTAATGCATTTGCATGCCTGGGTGCATAATTTTATTTGCAGTTTGACTTGTAATTTATTTGCTAGTTAATTACTTAGTTATAGCATAATCCTTTTCCAGGTACGGCAACCAAATTGTTGCCATTAAAGTTCTAAATCGTGGGAATACTTCGGATGAAAGAGCTTCCCTTGAAAATCGTTTTGCCAGGGAAGTCACTATGATGTCAAGAGTAAAACATGAGAACCTTGTCAAAGTGAGTGCCATATTCAAATGTGTGTTTCCATCCACTTTTATTTTTCATTTTTAGTTCTTTTATGGTACTGCAAGTTTATTGTGTATGCATAGTGTATTGCTGGTTCAGCTTGTCACATACCTTTGTCATTCATGCTTGGTCACAGCTACCACTTCCTCTACTTATTTTTAAGTTTATTTTAATGAAAGTAATATAAAGTAAGTTGTTTTTGTAAAGATAATGAAAGTAATATAGTTCTTGCCTTTGCAGTTTATTGGAGCTTGTAAGGATCCCTTAATGGTAATAGTTACAGAACTATTACCAGGGATGTCACTCCGGAAGTATTTAGTTGGTATACGTCCAAATCAATTAGACATCCGTGTGGCATTAAGTTTTGCCCTTGACATTGCTCGAGCCATGGATTGTCTACATGCTAATGGGATTATACACAGAGATCTAAAGCCTGGTACCGCGTGGCTAGTTGAGCTGTATAAAGTTTTGCTAATTCTCCATTGTTTCATATTTTGTAATGTAGAACAAAGCAAATTGTATATGTTGATATATTATTTGAAACTTCAATGTATTAGTTTTCAAAAGTATTTCTTGAGGGTTATCTATTACATCTTAAATAACTAGGCAACACTTTGTTCTAATCTTCTTCCTCTTCTGCATTTTTATTTTCTTTAAATAAACAGCATATGGTGAATTTTGAAACATATAGATCATTTTAATGAAGAGAGGAGATTATAAATTTAATATTGACAACATTGATAATCAATGTATTGGTAAACATCACAATTTATCTTCAACCTATTTTTTTTCCTTCTCTTTTTCAGTTCCCTATGAATTATTTGATCAGGCCCTTGACATCACATGTATTACACTGTGAGTTGAATTTGTAGTTATCTCAGTTGGCTTGTTATATATGTTTAGTGCCATGCTTTCTCATGACCAGTGTCAGCTAATCTATCCAAAATTGCAAAGGAGAAGCCCAAAAAGAAGGGCTTATTCATGAGGAGAGCATGGCTATGCTTTATTTTTCACTTTAGGAGTCTGGGTGATTGATGCTTTAATGCTTGAATTATGAGATAGCTGTGTGGGTTTTTTTTATATTCCTGTACCACGTAATATATTTGATGTCGTTCAATATGCATGTTTTTCACATGTATCAAAACTTAAAAATGCAGACAATTTGTTGCTTACGGCCAATCAGAAGTCTGTGAAGCTTGCAGATTTTGGTCTTGCGAGGGAAGAATCTGTGACTGAGATGATGACTGCAGAAACTGGAACTTACCGTTGGATGGCTCCCGAGGTTTGTTTTTCTTATGATCTATAGTTTAAATGTTTTTGATTGTTGTGAAAGCCATTATGCATGAACTAATAGACTATAATTCCTAAGGATTTGTTCTTAGTCCATTTTTTAGCTGGTGTTATTCAGTCTTTCTACAGATTATTAAGAATGGGATTAGATTCCAAATTTGTTAGTCAAAATAAAAGAATGGTGCACGGTGATATCAATCAGTCTGTTCAGCTAGCATGTGAAATGCATCTACTTAAAAACTAAATGTATTTTAATGTCGAAAGTGGTTCCAGCATATATATAATCTTTTATATACACTGCATTTTAAGTGTAGTCTTTGAGAGATTATTAAACTATTAACGATATTCGAATTTTTTTTTTTATAAGTAATGATATTCTTATTTTATTAAATTTTTTAGTATGTTATAGAGCTGGTATATAATATACACACACACAAGCACACTCAAATTAACTCAAGTCAATAAAGCCGTACTTCCTGGGGTCCTAGTTGGTTCCCTTTCATAAACTTTATAGTGTCACCCACCCACCACTAGCCTCCTAAGATTTTCTTCTGATTCAGGCAATGTATGATGCACATCATGGTGTTTTAGGTGTTTAACAAGGCCTATCCATAGAGAGGAAGTCCTTATAACGATCACGTTTTTGAAGAAACTTAACAGCAAAGATGAGGTTATTGAGATAATATCCGAGTCTTCAATGAAGCATCCATAGAGAGGAGGTTCTCATGATAGTCTTCATGAGTGCCTATGGAGAAGGCAGCAAGTCTTATCTAAACAAAAGAGGTCCTTGTAGCAAGATTTATCCAAACAGAGGTGGTCCTTGTGATGTATATGTTTGCCTGAGACTTAGCTGAGGTGAGAGGTCCTTGCTGTATAAATGCCTACTCAAAAAGGTTAGGAAGGGCCTCATTGAATATCACAAGCGCCAATAGAGGTAAATTTCGAGGTGTGGGTGGCTTATAATCATTTTTCACCTTCAGTTTATCGCAAACAAATTTCTCTTTGAAGTTCCAAAATCAGTGGGAATAAGTCCTGCCAAGGAGGCCATTTTGCCAAATAGCAGTCATTTCAATGTAAATAGCAGTTAATAAGCTAAAAAGTGTTTAATAGGTTGAGGTCAAGGAATGTTGAGATGACTTTCTTCTGTGATAGCTTCATCTTGACCTATTCTCAAGGTATAGACAGCAGCGTTGGATGAGGAGCATCACAAAGGCCTATCAGTGTGTCAGTATAAGATTTCTTATTTGGGTGCCATTTATAACTCCGATGCCATGTATCCATACTCTCTTCCCTCCGCAATTTTGATTGTACTTGCATCTGTTGATACTGATGTAAAGAAACTTCATGTGTTCTTTCTCTTTCTTATTTATTTATTTTTACTTTTCTCTCTCCCTTCATTGTCATTTTGTTGTTTTTCTTGGTGGTGTGTTGTTGATAATTATGAATTGGGTGCAGTTCCTTAATTTGCTCATAGTGTATGCTATTTTCTTAAATTCACTCTATATTCACCATTAATCTGATTATGTTGCAGTTGTACAGCACTGTGACATTGCGTCAGGGGGAAAAAAAGCATTACAATAACAAGGTTGACGTTTACAGCTTTGGTATTGTCTTTTGGGAATTATTAACCAACCGAATGCCATTTGAAGGCATGTCCAATTTGCAAGCTGCTTATGCTGCTGCTTTTAAGGTATGCAGAACCGTCATTCATCTTTTCTTCTGTTTACATCGGCTGTTTCAATTTTTTTACTTCCATTGGTTTGGATTATTTTGTGGATAGATTGGATTATAAAATCTACATAATCCAAGATAATGTTTAAAAAATTAAATTTGAAGGGCCCTGAAACAGATATCAAGTTAGAGAAACGCATGCATGATGTACATTATTAGTACAACTAAATGAAACAGTGAACTTGGTTAATCTTCAAAATCTCTCCCCTTCCCCAAATAAGAGAAGGGAAAAGGTATTATCTCGTCAAGAAACTTTGGCAAAAGAAAGTTTCTTAAAGAAAAACAATATTACCACCACAAGCCTGCAGTCTGAGACTCTGACTTGAATGTGGTAATTAGTCATAGCTTGTGAATACGCATGCATATCATCAAATACCTGTTAATAAGTCTGTTAGAAGTTTTAAGTATACAAAGAAAGTTGATTGGATGTTTGCAGGCAATTATGCCAGATTGTGCATGCAACAGACGCTACACTTCCTTTCATATATCTATCTTCCTCTCTGTTTATATATGTGATCATATTATATAAACATATCTATGCATGTTTTGGTGAACAACCAACACTCTGTGTTTAAATGGGTTTGGTAGATGTTTGCAGGCTAGTTATGCCAGATGGCCCCTGAACCATAGCAAGGGGCTAGTTATTCTGTTACCAACAAAACCAAAACTGTAAATTTTGGGGTCTTGTCTTCTTCCTTATGATTTTTTAACTAACTGAAAAATAAAAAATGAGACATATTAAAAGCAGCCAAGCTTGCAGTACTATGAGAAGCTCTGCAAACATACCCTAATGCTCAACTGCCAAGCTCATGACTCAAAAAATTATGAGGACTTGAGTAGCATATATCTTTCGCAGTTGCAGTGGGCACAATTTATGCTTGAGGCATCTACCTTATATGTAAACCATCAAAAAGCTAATTTCCTCAAAACTATGGCCTTTAAAAGTTTCCCTTCTGTTTTTGCTTTTACTGTTATTTTCATTCCTTGAAACACTTCATTATATTGTTAGGTTTTTAATTATATATTATTTTCAACACTTTCTTTGTTGGAAGACTTTTCACTTTTTTTATTTTGTCCAACTGGTATTTTTTATTTTTGTACTGGTGGTGTTTTTTAATGGCCTGATTTCATCTGTTTGAATTGGTGTCCTCCTTGGGGAGTCTTGACAGCTTGGCTCAGGGCAATGTCCATATGATTCCATACAAGTACATTGCCAAACAACTGACACGAGGATCAAACCATCACTAGAAGGCTATGTAGACCAAGTAAAGCAATTTAGTAATCAAAGCCATGATCTTGACCTAAGATATAGATCCTAGAAGCTAAAAAAGGTAATATTAAGAGTTAATATTAAAGCCATGAGTGACGTACTATTCCTTTCATTAGAAATGCATCAAAATATGGACCATACTCCAAATAGAGTGCAGTCTACCATGGGGGCATCCCCCTGAATGACAAGCAAGAGTGTGCATCACCACCTCTATAGAGAGAATGCTGAAGAAAATGGTTCACTCAATCTTTGATCTCTGCACATGCAAGATCAATTGGCCAAAAATTTCAACCTCTAAATCAAATGATTGATCATGGGGATTTTCTCCCATGCAGCTGTACAAGCAAAGAAGGAAATTTGAGATACTTTTCCATGGAGAAGAGGAGGATAACTAGCTAAATAGGCTCCTATAATAGACTTCAAATGCAAGAGCACCCCTTTTCAGCGTCTACCATGTCAATGATTCCTCCCTATTGCATAGAAAATGTCAAAATGACCATGCACAAACTCCAGCTCCCAATCCTGCACCACCCCGGTGAAGAGATCATGGACATGATTACACTCGCTGTCCTATTCGTGTAATCTGCCACAATAGCATTCTTATGTATGTCAATACTGAAAAAGGTCTGTAGGATTGTTTTATAGAGCACATCTCACACTTAGCATCATGATAAATGATAGAATCTAACCCTCTGCAGATCACCCACTACAAACCTATGTGCTTCCTTTATCCTCCTAATCATGGTCTAGTCCCCTTCACAAACCAGACCTAGGATAGTAGCTATTTGAAGCCTATTTCAACAACATAAACTGTTGCTTTAAGCTTGTGTTATGATAAGTATTAATTTGTAAGGATGCCAATACTTCTATCATAAATTGTTTTCTTTTAACAATTAAATGTTTTTCTTAAGTACTTTATACCAAATAGTGTGTTATGATAGTATTAATTTTTAAGGATGCCAATACTTCTATCATAAAGTGTTTTCTTTTAACAATTAAATGTTTTTCTTAAGTACTTTATATCAAACACTCGAACGATATAAAAACTGCATGATGCGGGAAAGTAAGAATTGTCAGCTTGTTATATATATATAATGTCGCATTTCTCAACATAAGGATATAAAAAAATTGATTTGGCTTCTTTAAACCATAGTGAGGCTGTGGTTGACTTGAATTGTCTGTCTTAGCATCATCTTTGATAAAATCAGTTTTGGGATATATTGCTTGATTGACTTTTGAACCCATGCATTCCCACATAAAAATATTGTTGTCAAAAGCATTTGATTGTTTGATTCATATGTACAAAGGTGTACTGAAAATGATATATAAGGTTAACATCTCAATGTGCTGGAATTTTTTGAGGCTCAAGTATGTGATTCCCATATTACCTGAAAGCAAAGTTTTATGGTACCTTTTATTGCCTTTAAAATTATGTTATACAAGGAAGAAAGCCCTTCGGGTATCTTTTTGGTGGCACACATTTCAGTCTTTTGTTTACAATTATGATATGCTGCATGTAGTATCATTTAATTGCAACCTGATGAGATGGGAATGAATAGTTCTCGTTGTGCATTCAGGCAATGTAGTATCAATTGTAAACTTGTTAATCTGTCTCAATCTGGAAAGTGTGGGAATAATTATATTATTTGGAGTGATCCATTCTGAGTGCTCCAGGTTATATATTTTATTTTTACCGTTATGTAGTTCGAGGACGGTTATGAATTTTTGTGACCAATCTCTTATTGCTAACCAATATCGCGTTGTCATTTGAGGATGCAGCAAGAAAGGCCAAGTCTTCCGGAGGATATATCCCCTGATCTCGCATTCATCATACAGTCATGCTGGGTTGAGGATCCTAATATGCGACCCAGTTTCAGCCAGATCATCCGCATGCTAAATGCGTTTTTCTTCACACTCAAGCCACCCTCACCGTCGTTTTCAGAATCGAATACCACTGAAGCAGCAATGACAAGCAATGGTACCATGACTGCCTTCTCTACACGTGCAAAAGGCAAATTTTCTTTTCTTCGCCAACTCTTTGCTGCAAAGAGGACTAGGAACTCACAATAGCTGGTAAATTTTTGAGAAGTTTCTTCTTGTTCCTACTCAAGCTCAAAAAGCATGCAATCGGAAATATAATTTAAGTGAGTTTGTGATCTGATTATATAAATCATGATGATTAGTGATGAAAATGCCGAACTGAAATGATGTTAATGGTGAAAGTCATTGAGAATAAATAGAGATACAGGGGCTTGTAAACCTTTAGGAGACCTTATTGTAAAGGAGACAAATGTTTGCAGACATTTTCTGTCCATATAAATGTTACCATATTCAGAAAATGCATACAGTAGTGCAGTTCAGTGACCTATATTTTCTGTTCTAGTTGGTTGAGATTTGATCTGTCAATTTGTCTGGAAAATATTTCCACCACTAGGTTTGAAGGGTAAGTTTCTAATAAAATTACAAATTGTTTTGGCCTTCTGTTTTAATGGCAACCGAATTCTATGGCTTTGCTATTCTCTCAACTCAACTTGATAAAGTTTTGTCCCAACTATTTGTTGATGAAAGTGAGTATTTGTTGTTGGAGTCAATAAATAGGATACACTTGATCCTTTTCTGTCACAGAGAAGTGGAGAAAGAGTTGCAAAAAAAGAAATGGTTGTCAAATGTCAGTAAGACCTAAGCAGTGAAGATGGATGTGATTTGTCTTTCGAGTTTTGGGAACTCCTTATTGTGGCCTATTTGAGGTGCTTCCCTGGTCATGCATGGCTAAATATGTTAAATTTGGGGCTTAGGTTCTCTGCAATGTGCTTTACAGCTCTGTTCCATTTATTATTGTTTATGTATTACAAAATATTTTCCACAGTTACATGTATGGTGTAGTCGTAGATTGCATTTTACCTATGGAAATGTGCTAATTGTGTTGCTCTCATGATATTATCTTAGGGAAAGGAAGGACCCTTTTGCTCATCATGTTTGGTTCAGTAGAAAGAAAATAAGGAATGAAAGGAGCATTATCCATAGAGCTTCTCCGGCGGGGAAAAGATGTGAAAAATAAAGAGAAGATGCCTCCTTCCTCTTTTTGTTCCACCTTTATAGAGGAAGAGATAAGAAGAATCTGACTTTTACCCCTTCCTTTGTCATTCTCTTTCCCTCTTCCAGACCTTCCATCCCTCTCCCGTTTCCTACCCATCATCTTCCATCCTTAGATTCTTACTCCCTACCAAAGAGGCACTGGGACTTGTCCGTGTCATTAGAATTTCCCAGTGTATATATTTTTAACATCTAACATCATTGTAACATGGCCTGTATACTAGTGCTTTAACATGATTGCGTATAAAGTTATAAACAGTGTTATATTGGCTTATTACTTTGCCCACTAAAACATATTTATATATAGTGTGAACTTGATAAATAGTGCTTCGTGATTCATGGAGTCCTTGTGGAGGGCCTATTCATGCACCACCATCAGATTGATTAAGATGGTCAACTAACTTGTTCAGAACTTGACATCCAAGTCCAAAATTTCGGCTTCTCTACTTGGATTATTCACTTGGCTTTCTTGGGGGCCATCTGATTTGGTGTAATTTGCCCAATAAACTTGCTTTTGAAAAGTCAAAATCTAGCAACAGGTAATGTTGAGTGATTGTGAAATTAATAAGAAAGTGACATTGACTCATAGACATGGCCGATCCTTCACCGTTCCACGAGTGCATTATTTAACATTTGTAGCTAATGGTACAGTACCATAGTATGCATTAGGGCCCGTGAAGACGGACATGTGAGACGGGACCATAGTATTGATGGTGACTCAAGTTTGCGATCGAGGGAAAACATCGTGGACAACAAGTTGGCAAAGTTTGTTGACATGTCCGAGATGAGAAGGCCGTTGGGTGAGTGGCTGCTTCCGGGGAAAGCTTGGTGGGGAGAAGTGGAAAATCGTTGCTGCAGCCTTGGCTTTTGTCGGTGTGGTTTTCTAAATTTGCATCACTTCTTGTTCATCATGCACTTAAAAATATTATAGTTTGATGAGATGAGATGAGATGAGATGAGATGTGTTTCTTGCTGGTTGTGGATGTGTAGAGTTTATTCCAATTTTGCTAGCAAATAATGTTTCTTAGATATGTTGTGCATTTTGTAGAAATTTGAACATACAAAATTTTCTTCTACTTTGCCTCTTGAAATGTAAATTTATACCTTATTTATGGGAAATGGGAGTCCACGTTTCTAGTTTAATATTTTTCCTATGGAAAATTTCCAAAGGGTTTTAAAGTGCTATCTTTTAGGGTCTTATCTCATTCACTTTTTAGGTGTAGTTCAGACTCTGCTTTATCTGCAGGTTGACTTTCTCAATCCTGCTTGTAGGATTCAGGTGTAGTGTATATTTTGTAAGTGTTACATTATTGATAGTATATATGGGATTGATATAAAGATTTTACAGGGGTTTGACATGGAATGATATTATTTCATTGTTTTTGTGTGATTACCACCTCGAGGATTTGATTTATCAAAACTTTCCAATACAATCATGAATATATATGTATATATGTATATTTAGCCACAGTCGATGTATATATATATGGCTTATTATATATTTCAGCTAACAATTGGCTTTCAAACCAAGTTGGGCCATGAATCTACAGCTTATATATATATATAGGACACACTCATCATCAATATTACAATGAGAAGTCTCCTAGAATTGATCTCCTTCAAAGGTCTGTCCAAATTGCCAACCTGCTGGGACGATGTTGTAGTTGGTAATGGTTCTGCCATCGCTGGTTGTGACTCGGATAGATAGACTTTGGCCATCGAGGTGTGAGTTGCTCTGCCAATTCTGGCCCCAATTTCTCGACATCACTTCCCATCCTGTCCTAGAGCCCTTGATTGCCGCTGTCTGTACATCCCCGGCACCACCAACGTTTGTTATCAACACCAAATTGAAGTAAGAGTGGCCATTGATGGTGAACCTTATTCCTCCTTTCTTCAGACATGGTACCCTGTCAAAATCATCACAAACATTTACATTACAGAAAGAATGAGCACACCACATTGCTTCAACCAAATCTACATTCTCCCAAAATGGCGTATTTGATAAGCGTCAATATCACGGGCTAGTTCAGTGCACGAAGCTCTAGTTAATGTGTGGTCTGGGAAGGTTTAGACGTGTATTTTTAACCAATCACTTTTAATTTCTGTGACTTGGGGTTAATAATCAGAAGTTGTGAGGTACAATGTTTAGGAAATATTGTTATTACCTTCTGTAGGCAACAGGAACAATACCAGCGCGATACTCTGCTATTTGCAAGAAAGCAGGCTCTGCCAAATCAAAGTGGTGGCGAGGGGGATTGCACCACCCTCCATTGTCATTAGGCAATGCATAGTTAGGCGGACAGAAGTTTGTGGCTGTTACGGTGATGGTACCGGTGCGGCACCATTTGGGGTCGTCATTGCACCTCAACTCGTAACATGCTCCGCAGCTCAGACCATTCTTGTAGAGTGCAGTGCTTAGAGCTGCAGTGCTTGTCCCATAACCCTGGCTGTACAAGTTTCCATACCCACATGCACCTCCTGCAAATCACAAAATATTATTGCATTGTGTCTCCGGAAATCATAAACCTCATGAAGTATTATGTCTCATGATCAATTCCTTCTAGGTGCAAACAATCCATGAAGGGTCATTACTGCGGACATAATCCGAGCTTTACCCGAACCATGTGGGGGCACTTTACACAAATTCCGTGGATTAGTCAGAACAAAACTTCAGACGCTTTGGGTAAAAATAAAAATAAAAAACACTAAACCGAATAAGGAATGATTTTGACAATCAAATGTCTTGGATGATGTGGTGGGCTTCATTATGAACTTAGGAGGTAGGAGAGTCGCGATTGTTGGTAACATTGCATGTGCAATATTGACTAACAACACATTATGTGGTAATAACATTGAGTACCTACTACTCAGTGATGAGGACATAAGTATCACTCCATACAAATTAACACATTCTTGCATGCACTCACACTTAAACCTGACTTACCCATTGTACCAGTAGCATCATCACCACCATAGAATGTTGCATGGGCACTTTCCCAGCCACCGTAGGTGTCATAACCTCTACCATAGGCTCTACTGTGGTGTCTGCCGTAAGTGCCATGGATACACAAATTGAAAAGAAAGAAGAGAAATGGCATAAATTTCATTGATTTAGTAGCCATATTGTGCGTGTGAGAGAGAGAGAGAGAGAGAGAGAGGGTTTGGTTAGAACAGAACTTGAGGGAAATGAGTAGCTATATATAAGAGTAGTGGATGGGTGGTTAGGGGCTTAAGGTGTCATTGCTTATTAGTATTTGTGAGAGAACAACAACATACATATACAAGTGATCGGTTGTCAAGTTTGAGGCGGCCAAATGCCCTAACAAAACAGATTCAACTTTCTAAAGTCATTAAGCAAATCATATGGGCATACAGTTGTTACATTTTGGGTCCCCACATTCACTCGAGTCCACGCCCCAACTCCCATATATTTCTCAACCGCCTCTTTTACTCCTTCATTTGCTCTCTATTTGTGTATTTAATACTGACTAGTTGTTGATAACCATTATGTCATACATTTAAATTTTATATTTAATATTTTCTTTTTCGGAAATTCAGTTGCTTTTACAAAAGAAAAAAAAAAAAAAAATTACAGTGAAATTCGTTAGCTGAAATTTAGCATTTAGGGGAGATAAAAATTGGTTAGCTCAAATTCAGTGGATCTCTCTCCCTCTCACACACACACACGCGCACAGAGTCACTTGTGGAGTATATAATGGTCGATCACGTGGCAAAAACTTTATCAGTCAATGGGATTACGTGGTGGAAAATGGAGCTGACATGTCATCAAGGAGGTGTTGAAGAAGTCACATGACGAGACCCCAATGCAGTGAAGCAACAGTGAGGTGTCAAGCATTTGTTGGACGGCAGAATTGTCACGTGGAAAAGCTCGATTAGTTGGAGGAAGGTTGGTCAACCAGTTTAGGAATATAGATAGGGCTGCAATCGAGCCTAGCCAAGCTGAGCCATAGTGTGCTCGAACTTGACTCGGCTCAAGTGATAGAATGCTCAAGCTCGGCTTGTGCTCGGCCGAGAAATTTTGATTCAAGCTCGGCTCAGTTCGGCTCTGTTCAACGAACCTCGAGCCGAGCTCGAGCTATTTATTTATTTATTTTGTATTTCGCATTTAACATATCTAAAAAATATATATATGAGAGAAATAGATTTGCAGTAATAAAAAGAGAGAAGTTTGAGAGAAAAAGAAAAAGAAAGTGATAAATTTGATCGAAAATTAAACTTACCAGAGTTGATTTTGATGGAAAAATATCGGGAGATGCATAGATCAATAGTAAACCCCAAAATTTATATTAAAAATCAGTTTGGATGAAAGACAATTAATACATAAAAATCAAATATAAGAAGAGAAAGAGAGAGAAATAAGATTCCATTGCAGAAAGCAAATTGTTGAGTGTGTTGTCGTTGCTTGGACTACTGATAATTTTAGAAAAGGAAAAATGATTAGGGTTAGCATGATCTTTCTCGTGACACAACCCCATTTGACATAAAAGAAGTATAACACTCCAAGTTGTTTTCAACAGCATCAATAAACTCCCAATAAGTAGCAGTTGCCAATCGAATAACCTTTTATGGAAATGGCCTCTCACCATCAAAGATGAAACGATTACGCGCTTTCCAAATTTCCCAGGCACAAAAGGATGCTAAGCACTGCACGTGCTTGTGAGAAGTTCCCTGATTAGCCTCCTTTCCAAGTGCATACCACCAATTAACAAATGATGGTATCTGCAACGATACAAAATGAAAGCGCAAAGGTGACATTTTTCACACCTGTACAGCAAAAGGACATTGAAAAAGTATATGCTCCACCGATTCTTGCCCACCCTAATAACAAGGGCAAATATTCTCCACACATAAACCACGTTTGGCAAGCGCCACACGAGTGGGCAAAACACCTTGGCAACATTGCCATAGAAAGTGTTTTATTTTGGTAGGAATTTGACATTTCCAAAGATGACTCCAACAACCAGTATGTGAATTCATAATCATAGTTGATACATTAGAGGTTGGAGGGCAAAATAACATATTAAAAGCAACATGATATGCAGATTTCACTGGAAAAAACACCGGAGTCGGAAAAAGCCCAGCATGGAACATCTTCTCTATCCCATAGGATAAGAGGAATACATTTTATGGCTGCCACCACCTCGGGGGTGAAAAATTGATGAAGGATAGTGTCATTCCAAGACGAAGTTGCTTCATTAATAAGGTCTGCCACCAATTGAACCAGAGGATTCTTACTAGGACAAGGTAGGGCAGAATCCCTCTTTGGAACCCAAAGATCATCTTAAATATTTATAGATTTTCCATTACCCACAACCTACCTTAAACCTTTATTTAGGATTGGTTTAGTCGACCAAATACCACGCCACGCCTATGATGGGTTGCCTTCTAAATCGGCATCCAAGAAGGAACAATCTTTAAAATATTTGGCCTTGAACAATGAGAAAGCCAAACCTTTCTTCATTACTTGAAAATTCCAAGCTTGTTTTGAAAGAAGGGTTAGATTATATGCTTCCATATCACGAAACCCCAACCCTCCCTCCTTCTTACTAAAACATAATAAGTCCCATTTCATCCAATGAATAGGCTTTCCATCTTCTTTTTTTCCGCCACTAAAATGATCGAAAATACTTTATCAGCTCTTGACAAAGAGTATTTGGCAGCCGAAAACATGCCATTACATATGTCGGGATGGCACTTAAAACCGTCTTAATTAACACTTCTTTTCCACCCGTAGATAGCATTTTTGCCTTCCACGAGGCCAACCGATCTTGTACTTTTTGAGCAACGAACTTAAAAACATCCTTCTTGGAACGTCTAATAATCGCCGGCAAACTCAAATATCGAGATTGTAATCCTTCTGTAATGCCCAGCAGATGACATAATTGTTGCTTTAAAACCTCAGTTGCATTTTTAGAGAAAAAAATAGCTGATTTCGAGTAGTTAATCAGCTGACCCGATGCGTTTGCATATGACAGTAGGATTCTTTTGAGTGAGAGCACCTCAGAATATTTTGCCTTGTAAAAAATGAGTGAGTCATCCGCAAAAAACAAGTGCGATAATTGAGGGGCTCCACGACAAATCCTTAACCCTGACAAAATTTTTGCCTGCATAGTTCGGTGAAAAGCGTGAGACAAACTCTCGGCACATAAAATAAATAAATAGGGAGACAATGGGTCACCTTGTCTTAATCCCCGAGAAGGCTTAAACAAACCCACAAGGCGGCCATTCAAAACAATAGAATATGAGACAGAAGTAATGCATATATGCCTTTAACATCGTAACCTATTTAGAATTTAAATCCATTTTTATGAGCTAAAAAGAAAAGACCATTCTAAGCGGTCATATGCTTTGCTCATATTGAGCTTTAAAGCCAAAAAAAACAGTTTCTTGTTTTTCAAATAATGCAACATTTCATGAGCAATTAAGATATTATCCGTAATATGTCAACTCGACACAAAAGCACTTTGTGTCTCACTAATAACAGAATGCATGATGTATTGTAATCTATTTGCAAGTATCTTTGTAATGATTCTGTAAGCAACATTACATAGTAAGATTGGGCGATACTAAGTCACATTTTTTTATGAATCAACTTTTGGAATAAGAACTAAATTTGTATGATTTAATTGTGAGAGTATAAATCCAGAATGCATAAATGCAGAAATTGCAGTAAAAATGTCATCTTTCAGCAACAACCAATATTTTTGGTAAAATAATGGAGTCATACCATTTGGACCCGGAGCCTTGAGAGGAGCCATGCCAAAGATTGCATGATGGAGTTCAGCCTCCGTCAAAGGAAGTTGGAGTTGCCTATTTATTTCTTCAGTAATGCATGGTGGAATATATTGAATAAATTGATCAATATCCAACCGGGATTGAGAGTTGAAGATGGTCTCAAAATAAGCTAGGAAAACATGCTGCAACTCTGTTTCCTCTTCAACCCATCTGCCATTCATATCTTCGACTCCTGAGATTTGATTCCTTGCCCTCCTCCTGATTGTTGTCGCATGGAAAAACTTTGAATTACGATCACCAAGCTTCAGCCATTGAACTCTAGATTTTTGCTTCCAAAACAATTCCTCCTCTTGCCAACATTTGTTAAGCCATCTCTCTGCCACCTGAACGTCTTCATGGTTATATGACTGCAAATTTTCTTTTAACTTTTTTAACTGGAATTCAGCATCCGCTATCTTTTCTCTTGCATTTTGATTTCAAGTTTTTGCCCAATTCACCAATTTTTGCTTACATAACTTCAGCTTAATGGCCCAACCAAAAAGTCTGGACCCTAGCACCATGGATTGCCAAACATTTGCAATAATTTCCTAGCACTGTGGATTAGAGATCCATCTAGCATCAAAATAAAACTGTCTAGCCTTCCAATGTCATTAAGGGTGAAAAGTTAGCAAAACAGCGGCGTGATCAAAGCCGGCCACAGCCAGGTGAAAAAGCATTGCATTTGGAAAAGCTAGTAGCCAATCCGGTGAGACCAAAACACGATCCAACCATTCTTGAATATTAGTAATGCCACCCCGTTGATTGTTCCACGTAAACGGATACCCATGAAAACCCATATTCCACAAACCATAGGCATCAATGAACTTTCGAAAATTCTGAAGGACCCAGAGTGGTTTAGCATGACCTCCCATTTTTTTCCGAGTTATTTGTTATTTCATTAAAATCCCATATTAAGAGCCACGGAAGACTCCAAAGCTGTAACAGATTCTGAAAATAAGACCATTGCGCTGCTCGGATACTATCTTTGCAACTGGCATACACCACCGAGAAACCCCAGGTCATGCCTTTCACATCTTTTACTACCCCGGAAATATGAAAATCCATTTGCGCAATTATTTGAACATCCAAATCCTCTTTCCACCACAAGGCAATACCCCCAGCAAGACTAGATGGAGGAACAACACATCAATTTGCAAAATACAACTGATTTTGGAGACTCTCCAAAAGATGTTCTCTATTTTTTGTTGCTAAGATGGCGACCATACTTGGGGAATAAAGTTGAATTATCTTCTTAAGCTGTCGAACTGTCAGGGGGTTCCCCAAACTCTGACAGTTCCAACTCAAAAGCTTCATTGATCCCTATAGGGCTAGTTTAGGCTGGCGACGACCACCATGAGTCGGTAAGCCGGAGCCACTCGCTGTAGCACATCCCACAGAGTCCAACAGCTCATGTTTCTCCACCACTACCCAAACACCAACAGCTCCAACAGAAAAACAAATTC